ATTATAGTTATTTTAAAACAGCAAGAGGGACACTGGGCATCCCACTCGATTTATAAAATGTCCTTCTCTTCCCACTTCAGACTGTGTATTTTACTTTCTCGTGTCTACTGCACACCATTTTGATAGCGTCTCTGAAGCAGAGAGCCTGCGCTGATGCCTTGAATAGTAAAGAAAACCTCGGAGCATATGGTTGTACTTAAGTGCTTTCATCAATTATTAAGTTCGTCATAATTGGTTCCAAGACTTGTCAGTATAATTATCCTTGTTTTTAATATTAAACTTCACTGAAGACTCATGAAAGGATAAAAGTCTTATAATAATATTTGATTATGAGCACATTTGAACTGTAGCATTTAGATTATGTACAAATATGATGCTAAGTCACTGGGGAGAAAATTTCTCAAGAATATTTCAGATACACATTTAAAAATTCTTTGGTAATTTCACACATGTCTATAAAAAATTCAGTGATTTTCACTCTTCCAATTATATTACCACCTCTCACCCCCTTCCTCTTTCTACCTCTGAAACTCCTCTTTCCCCACCCACTTTCATGTCTTTGTGTGTGGCCTATTGAGTTTAATTGGGGTTGCTTGCATGAACATCGGCAGGGAGTTATTTCCTGGAGCATGGGCAACACATGAGTGGCTACACCACTGAAGAAAATGCTGTCCTGACCTCAGCAACCATGAACCACCAACAGGGAGGGGGTGGGGCATTGTGAGCCCCTCCCATATCCATGATGTAGAGGCACACTCTACACACACACACACACACACACACACACACACACACACACATATTATATGTATATATATAATGATACAAAGCTGTATCATTATAGCCATTGTAGTTTTATTACCACTTATTTATGTGTCTGTGTCGATATGTGTTTGTTGAGTTGTGTGTGGTGGTGTACACCTTTAATCCCAGCACTTGACAGCCACGCAGGCAGATCTCTGTGAGTCCAAGGCCAGCCTGCTTTACATAGAGAGTTCCAAGAAAGCCAGGGCCACATAGCGAGACCCTCCCTCAGAACACAATAATTAAAAAAAGGAAGTTATAGAGAGTAGCCATGTGGGATGCCTTCTGAAGAGCAGTATGCTTATGACTCCTGGACTCTCCAGGATCTGCTTCTATTTGTGTTTAAACAAATTTTGTTATCAATGTCAAAATTATATAACACAAAGGTGAGAACCAATATATATGATTACTTACGGGATATTTCTGTGTCTCATCTCTCTCTGCATCAGGTTCACAGCTTAGATGGCAGTCTTGGTGAAGTGTTGACCTTTTCACTTATCCATAGACATAGAGGTCATGGGTATATTTGAATACACACAATAGCAATGTATGGGGGGGAGTGGGAGGGTGTTGGGAGGAGGGGCGGAAATGAAAACTTTCATAATTTAATAAACTTAAAAAAAATAAAAATGAAGACACAATGTTGGGGTATAGGAAGGTTGATGTGGGAGAATTTGAGGGGAGATATATGGGTAAATATGATCATATACATTGCAAAATTTTAAAAACACCAATAAAATATTTTAAACCCTGAAAAAAAACAATAGCAATGTATGGATCTGTGGGATGGACCCAGGAGAGTGGGGAGATTGGCAAGCAAACCGAGGACAGGGGTAAGGGAAGAGTCTGGGGGAAAGTCGGAGGAGGCTCTCACTGGAGGGATGGGCAGGCACGTGGACTCTACCCTACAATTCCGAAGTGGAAACACATATAGGAAAGAGAATAACTCGGTCTCCTAGGATTATTGAGATTAGGGAGAGCCTTGAAAAGATTGATCTTGTGTAAATCTGTATCTGTCCACCTAGCTGTCTGATTATTGCCAATTAGTGAATTAAAAAGAGAACAATTACTTGCCCTTCTAGTTAAAACTCCTGACCAGAGAAACTAGAGCAATCTTCATACTTTCTATTTCTTTTTTTCCTTCATGGTTTCAGGGAGATTGTTAGGGTGTTGTTATTTGGTGGGGGTCAATTTACTAAGCCCTAAGCTGTGGGAAACTGTGGGGGAGAGTAGGTACACACTAAATCGGAAGGTTTTCTATTGATAGATGCATATTTCTGTTAATGATAAGTTTTTCTTTTCTTTTTAAAATATTTTAATTTTATGTGTATGGATGCATGCCTGAGTGTATGTGTCTGTGCACCAAGTGTGTTGAGGTGCCCAGAGCGGGCAGAAGAGAGGTCAGATCCCCTGGGAATGGAGTTACAGATGGTTGTGAACTGTCATGGAGTGCTGGGAACTGAACTTGGGTCCTCTGAAAGAACAGTAAGTGCTTTTAACTGCTGAACCTTTTTCCCTTTATTTTTAAAAGTAGGTTAAGTATATATATATATATATATATATATATATATTATATTTATGTCAACCTTCTTTAATATATATATATATATATATAACTGTCTTATCTATCTATCTATCTATTTATGATTTATTTTTGTTATCTCTGTGGACACTGAGTAAACACTTCTTGAATGATGATTGACAGATAAGGGTTAATACAGATTTGTGGATTTAGTAATTCAGTTAATAGTGTCCATGGCTGATAGATTAGTTTCAGTGTCAGTTTCAATATGTCATGAAATGCCAATCATGATTATGTGATTAAGGATATAAAATCTCAGTGATTGGTTCGTGTGTGTGTGTACATGCTCATGTGCGTGTGTGTATGTATGTGCATGTACAGCTGTGTTTGGTAATCAGAGGTCAGTGTCTGTGTTTTCCACTTGCACCCTTCCCCTTATTTTAGATTATTTACTGTATTATTGTGAGCGTTATGTGTGCATCTGTTGAATGTGGAGAGCAGAGGACAACTTAGTTAGTTTTCCTTGTTTACCTTTGCGTGGCTCTGAGGATGGGACGCAGGCTTGTCAGGTCTAGCAATTGTAGTTGTGGAGCCGTCATGCCAGTCCTGAGTCTTAGGCGGGAGAAAAGGTGTCTCACTGAACCTGGAGCTCAACAGTTCAGCTAGCCCGGCTTGCCAGCAAACCCCCGGGGTGCTTCTGTCTTCTTGCTCCTCACTAGTGATTGAAGCATTGTTGGTTTTTGCCCCCCTTTCACATGCATGATGGGGATCCCAACTCAGGCTTTCATGCTTACAAGGTGGGCACTTTGTTGGCTGGGCCATCTCCACATCCTCATTTATTTATTTATTTATAAAAATTTCCACTTCCTCCCCTCCTCCCAATACCCTCCCATTCCCCCCACTCCCTTTCCTCCTCCCTCTCCAGTCCTAAGAGCAGTCAGGGTTTCCTGCCCTGTGGGAAGTTCAAGTTCCTCATCCCTCCCTCCAGGTCCAGGAAGGTGAGCATCCAAACAGACTAGGATCCCAAAAAGCCAGTACATGCAGACGAAACAAGACCCATTGCCATTGTCAATGGCTTCTCAGTCAGCCACATTCAGAGAATCTGGTTTGATCTCATGCTCGTTCAGTCCCAGTCCAGCTGGCCTTGGTGAGCTCTCATTCGATCAGTCCCCTTGTATCAGTGGGTGGACGCACCCCTCGCGGTCCTGACTTCCTTTTTCATGTTCTCCCTCCTTCTGCTCCTCATTTGGACTTTGGGGGCTCAGTCCGTTGCTCCAATGTGGGTCTCCGTCTGTATCGCCATCCATTGTCAGATGAAGGTTCCCTCTAGTCCTGCCTTCCTTGCTCACATTCTCCCTCCTTCTGCTTCTCATTTGGACCTAGGGAGTTAAGTCCAGTGTTCCAATGTGTGTCTCTGTCTCTATCTCCATCCATCGCCAGATGAAGGTTCAGGGTCTTATTATGTAGTCCTGACTGGCCTGGAATTCAGGATAACCTTAAATTCACAGGAATCAGCTTTCTTTGCTTTTCTTGGTGCTGGGTTAATAGCATAGACTAACACAAATGGATGAGGAGGTTAATACCTTAAAGAATCATTTATAAAAATTCTTATTCTTTTTTTTTTTTTTTTTGAGACAGGGTTTCTCTGTGTAACAGCCCTCACTGTCCTGGAACTTGCTTTGTAGACCAAGTTGGCCTCAAACTCACCGAGATCCACCTGCCTCTGCTTCCCGAGGACTGGGATTAAAATACTATGCCAAGCTTAATAATTATTCTTCTTACGCTGTCTGGTGACTCGGTCACTTCTCTGTTGCTGTGATGAGACATGACGGTTATGGTAGTTCACAGAAGGAAGAGTTTCTTTGGGCTTGCTTATGGTTCTGTGGGGAACACGGCAGCAGCTATAGCATGGTGCTAGGAACAGAAAGTTGAGAGTTCCTTTCTTCAACCACAATCACAAAGCAGAAAGAGCAAGCTGGCAGTAGGGTGAGGCCTTAAGCTCTCAAAACCAGCCCCTAGTTCCATACTTCCTCCCAAACATTGTCAACAAGTGACTATGGGGAACATCTCTCATTCAAACCACTGTATCTTGTCCACATATCAGGGCTTTCCACTGGGCTTCTTCTTTCCCTGTCATAGCTATTCAGATTCTTTTTGGTTCCTTTTCTATACAAGAAAGAAAATTGCCCCAACCTCCTTTCACAATCAAAACTCTCAAATAACCCTGAAAACACCTAGACACATACCACATGTCTTCGGGCTTCTAATCTAAGTCTTGACAAGAATGGGCAAACAGCAAACATACAAAGTCCCTGAACATCACCAGTTCATGGAAGTCAGATGACTTGCCTACTGTCAGATATGTATCAAGAGATCAGCAATAGCTTTCAATTAAGACTACTGATTAAATGGAAGCCTGTTTGATAGGTTTGAAAGTCAGTTATGAATTTACTAGCATACATGAGAGCTAAGCCCAGGCAGCATGAGAGCAGACAACAGCTTGGGAGTCTCTTGCTTCTCTGATGGTGGATTTGGCATCCCGAGCCTCAGAGGACTGAAAAGATGTGCCAAACAGAAGACTCACTTATTCCATGATTGGCAGGAACTCTCTTCTTTGGAAAAAATTCCTCCTCATTGATAAGCCTTGTTTTTTTCTGTATGTGTCCGTGTACAGGCACCATGTCTGCAGAAGCACCAATCCCCCTGAATTTGGACATTCGCGACCTGCAGATCCAGACAGTCACAGTGGAGAAGCTGCTGGAGCCGCTGATAATCCAGGTGGGAGCCCTTGGCGTGCTGCAATGCGCTACAGCTGTGTGCTAGCAGAATTTAAAGTGGTGGGAGAGCAACGAGTCAAGGGTGGATTTGGCTCTAGGTACGAATGGCTCCATCACCTAACATCATCCTTTGTTTAAACTGGTATTACTGGGTGTGGTGGAGCACACCTTTAATCTTAGCATTCCAGAGGCAGAGGCAGGCAAAATAGATCTCTGTGAGTTCAGTGACAATCAGGTCTACACTTGGAGACCTTGTCTTAATTCCTCCAAATAAGCTAGTATTAAATTAAAAGTATGTATTCGATATTATTAATATAATTCTGAAAGTTTTCCCTCATATTCTTTTTTGACATTAACTGCAAACACACACACACACACACACACACACACACACACACACACATGAAATAGGGTCTGTGTGGATCAGAGTGACCTCTAACATATGCCCCCACCCCTTGCTTCATCTTCCTTAGTTCTGGGATTGCATGTGTGTATCACAATGTTAAGAGCTGTATATAAACCAGGCAGAGGTGGCACACCCCTTTAATCCCAGTACTCGGGAGGCAGAGGCAGACAGATCTCCATGAGTTCAAGGTCAGCCTCGTCTACAGAGCGACAACCAGAGCTGTTACACAGAGACACTGTGCCCCAAAAGATAAAAACAAAAGAAAACAAAAGAAGGAAAAGAAAAAACAGGTTTACTATTACCTGTGTGTGTGCGTGTGCATGTGTGTACGTGACGAGTGTGAACGGGCACCTGTGTTGTGGCATATGTGTAGATGTTGGAGGACAACTTTGTGGAGTCAGACTTGTGACAAGTGGCTTTTCCTGCTGGGCCACCTCCTTGTTTCCGGACGTGTGCATAACCTGTAAAGCGCTGCTGTGTCCATTATCTTCTGTATGGTCAGGAAAACTGAGGCAAGGCAATATTCCAGCCATCTTTATTATGTCGACATTCCAGTGGTTTGACCTAAGAGCCGTGGCCTCTCATTTATCACACAGTAAACTATAACTAAAATATGAAAATAAGGGAGAAAGGCAGCTATTTGAAGGGATGCTGTGATAGTCTTCCATGAAATAAATGATCATTTGATCATGTGAGTAACCATTCTTAGTCAGCATGGAAGGCCTCATTTTATGGATTAGACTTTTAAATTTCTTTAAAAAAAGTTTTTCTCAGCATAGTTCATGTGTAAAATGGGTCTCGTGATGACATTTTCATGCATAGATAAGATTGTTTGGGTCACACTCTGACCATCATCATTTCTTACTCCATCCACTCACACCACTGGATTTTCATGATGCAGAGTTGAAGGAATCTGTTCACTGATGCAGATCTAAGTATTTTACCTTTAACAGCAAACCTGATAGAGCCAGACTCTCCTCTTGGCCTACCTTACACCATGCACCAGGTCCCTTCTTCCAAAGACACTAAGCTCTCAGGGTTCACTTGGGTAAAAAACTACAGTGGCCTTATATCTGATTATTCAAAAGTGTTCTTGTCTTCTCCAGGGACGCACGGTGGAGCATCTCTGAGGACAGACGCAGGCCATGTTTTCACTGAACTCAGATTGAGGCCCACTACTGGGAAGGCAATTTAAAACATTTCTTCCTGGTGACGGCTGAGTTTTATATTAACCATTGCTGTCTAAAAGACACTAAAACCTGAAATTAGTACTGCTAAAGACAGTTCCTGAATGCTTTCATGTTGAGAGACAAAACAAATTTATCTATCTATCTATCTATCTATCTATCTATCTATCTATCTATCTATCTACCTACCTACCTACCTACCTACCTACCTACCTACCTACCTACCTACCTATCTATCTATCTATCTATCTATCTATCTATCTATCTATCTATCTATCTATCTATCTATCTATCTACCCACCTACCTACCTATCGTCTCTTTCTCTCTCCCAGGCTAAATTCAAACTCAGAGTGCTCCTATCTCTTTCTTCTGGGTGCACTATTATGTCTGGCTTTATTTTTGTTTTTCTGACAAAGTTCACTAAAAAAATTAGAATCTCCCTGGTGTAGGGCAAAGAAAATTAAAACACATTCAATTTGCTACCAAGAAACAAACATTAGTGCATTATTTCTTTCCAAGGCAGTAAAATAGTGGGTGGTTTTCTCAGGTCTTTATAATATAGAGAATGTAAACTCAGTGGATAGTGCAGGCCTGCCACGCTTCCCATTTGGGAGGATTAGGTAGCCTTGGCAACATATGCATATATGTATACTGAGTATGTATATATATGCAAATACACAAATATGTATGCACATATGTGTATATATTGAATATATGTATAATGAATGTATAGATTGGAAAATGTTATTTATCTTTCCTATTTCTGTGATAAACAACATGCAAAAGCAACATTATTCAGCTCATACTTCTAGGCTGTAGTTCATCTTGGCAAGGCAGTTACAGCAATAGGTATCTTAATCAGTGTTCTGTTGCTGTGAAGAGACACCAGGACTAGAGCAACTCTTGAAAGCATTTGATTGGAGGCATTGCGTGGTGTTTGTACACTGTGAAAATGTATTGCTTTGACTGGTGTAATAAAGAGCTGAGTGGCCAGTAGATAGGCGGGAGGTATAGGTGGCACTTCTGGGCACAGAGTGAGAAAGAGGAGGAAATAGTCAAGGTGTGAATGAAACACCAACAAAAAATGGAGGGAGCTGGACATACAGAATAAAAAAAAAAGTAAAACAGCCATGAAGCCAAATGTAGATTAATTTAGCTGGGTTAATTTTAGTTATAAGAGCTAGTGGCACAAGCCTAAGATAAGGCCAAGCTTTCATAATTAACAAGAAGTCTCTGTGTTTTTATTTGTTGGCTGGCAGCTGACAACAAAGCTTGCTGCACAGGGCTTGGTTATACTTTCAGAAGTTTAGTCCTTTATCATCATGATGGAAAACGTGGAAGACGGTGCAAGAGCAGTAGTGGAGAGCTACACGCTAAGTCACAGGTAGAGAGAGTGACACTGGGCTTGGCATGGACTTTTGAAACCTCAAAGCCCACCACCAATGACACAGTTCCTCCAACAAGGCCACACCTCCTAATCCTATCAAATAGCACCACTCCCTGGTGACTAAGCATTCTAATATGTGAGCCTATGGGGAAGGGGACCATTCCTATTCAAACCACTACAAGGAGCTCAACAGAACTGGTCACATTGCATCCACAGTCAAGAGACTTCCATTGAGTTCAGAGCCCAGCCCATGAAGGTACTCGCTCACACTCAGGAGTCTTCCCACTTAACATAATCAAGATAATCCTCCAAAGACAAGGTGATCAAGATCTTCCTCACAGGTGATTCTAGATTGTGTCAAACTGACACAGAAAATTAACCATCAAATACACACACACACACACACATACATACATATGTATACAATAGAGAAAATGCTGTATATGCAGTTATATCTTTTTCATTTAAAATGGTATTTTAATAGTCCACCCCCTTTATTTTAATGGTTCTGTGTATTGAACACAGGTCCACAAATATGTTAGGCAGGCACTCCAACCACTGAAATTCACCTGCAACCCAATTTTTTTTTTATTAATAAATTTGAAGCTCAGGTGTGTGGTTGTTTTGTCTGCCTGTGCATTAATGTACCATGTTCACTCCTGGTCTGCTTAGAGGACAGAAGAGGGTGATCCCCAGAACTGGAGTTACAAATGACTGTGAGCCTCTATGTTAGTGCTGAGAATTGAGCCTATGTCCTCTGGAAGAACAGAAAGTACTCTCAACCTCCAGGCCATATCACCATACCCCATTCTTTATAAGAACAACTCGACAAAATCGTTGCTTTAGTTACATCTCATGTAGCGCCATTACAGGTTTAGTTAAAGTAGCCACTCAGTTTTGGATGTTTAAGGTTTTAGCTTTTTTTTTTTTTGGACTAAAAATACTGCTGGCTGGGGATGTAGCTCAATTCATAGAGTCATGCTTGCCCAGCATGTGAGAATCCCTGGCTTTGATCCAGAGCACCACGAAAATAGGAAATAGTGGTAACACCCCCATAATCACAACACACAGGTGGTGGAATCAGGAGGGTCAGAAGTTCAAGGTCATCCTCAACTGCAGAGCAAGTTAGAGGCCAGCGTGGGAAATAAGAGATCCTGTCTAAAACAAAAACAAGCATTTCCATGCTGAACATCTTTATGGACATGGACATCCTTAGGACTAGTGGCCAAAAATATCAGTAAGTTTACGAGATATGAGATAGGGTTTTACACCCTGTCACCTAGACTGAACTTGAATTCACTAAGTCTCCCAGGTTAGCCTCCATTACACGGTCCCTTTGCCTTCCGTACTTCTAGTGACAGGTATGAGCCATGTCCAGCCATGGGGGCAGTTTTGATTTCAATTGCTGTGCTGACCACTGTGACTACAGGCAGCTTGAGGAAGACAGGCTTTATCTCATCTTATTACAGGTCCATCATGCACAGACCATGGAGCAATGCTGCTTACTGCCTTGCTCCCCATGGCTTGCTCAGCTTGCTCTCTTAGATATCCCTGGAACTCCTCCCCTCCCCAGGGTGGCACCACTCATAGTGAGCTGAGCCCTCCCGCAAGACTTGTCTACAGGAATTTCTGATGAGGCATTTTCTTAATTGAGATTCCTTCTTCTCAAATGACCTTAGCTTAGTCTTGACCAAGAAACTCATCAGCACAATTCTATGCGCTTACAAGGAATGATTAGAAATATGATCTTTACTTTGGAGGAGGCTGAATGCTAAGTACATAATGCCACTGCCCTTTTAAATTTTTTTTTTTTTTTATGACAGTATGACATTGGAGTTGATCCCTTAGAACTTGATAGTCATGAAGGATGCTGCCATATTGTTATGGGCAGAGAAAGGGTTGTAGAGAAACTACGTTTTATTTGGTTTTTGAGACAGAGTCGCCTTGTGTAGCCCAGGCTAACTTCAATCCCCTTGCCGCAGTTGGTGTTCCAGTGCTGGCATCACCAGCAGGCATCGTC